CAGAGATCATACTGCCTCCGTCATCAGGGCGATGAGTCTGAAGATTTCTGTCTTCTGGGTTGTTGCGCTGTGTAGTCTGGTCGATGTTTACCAACGTTTCAGAGGTCATACTGCCTCAGTCATCAGGGCGATTCAAGTCACCATTACAACGTTGCTATCTTTGCTACGAAGTGAGTTATCAGCTGCCTTTATTCGCTTGGGATCCGCTGTTAGTGTTGAACCGTTGTAAAATTTTGTTGTGCTCTTGAAGCACAAAATTTGGTGGCGGCTACACTAAATGGACGAAGACAAACATCCATACTGAGCGGGATTAGATTTCACGATCCCAGCAACCAAACTGCCGAAACCTACACCCCAGATCGAAGGAACATGGCGGCCACAGACGCACACTAACGCTGGCTTTCTGTTTCAGATCGGATTCTGTGACGTGGAATCCACACAAGCTGATGGGGGCGCTTCTACAGTGCTCCACGATACACTTCAAGCAGGATGTGAGTAGAATATAAAAGTCCACTGACTATATTTATGTATACGAACCTCTTACGGCTTCGTCGATTTGGTAGCGGCGTTATAAACATCATACATTTATTACATTTACATTTTGTTTACAATGTTACGAATTTCAAGAACTTTGCTACAACGGTAACGAATAAATATTGTATCATCATGGGTTTAAAGGAGGAATATCCTATGCCAGAGTGGTCCAACAAGCGGCATGTGATCAACAAACAAAATTATTTATTTTCCACAAACTATTTTATTGTCTTTACTCCGAAAGATTTTTAAGAAAAACACAAATATTATCTGCTGCTTTACATACAAGTTCCAGACAAATAATGACTTTAAAATTCTACCGTAAGACGTAAGTTTTCCAGGTACAAATTATTTCAGATACAAGCTGTTGCAAAAGCAAGTTTAAAACAACATTAACTTTAAAAATAGTGCGAGAAGGAGTTCTTGACCATTGGGGCCAACGGGAACACTACCCTTGGACCAAGGTAAAAAGAAAGTTGGATCACCTGACCCTACGCAAATGCAATTAGTAATTCATTCCAGAGTCTGTCACTTTTTATCCTAAATCTAAACAACAAAATACTAAGAGAGACATGCTTAGGCCTACGTTCATACCGGTATCTGAGTAGTAACATGTATTCATAGTATTAAAGGAGATATACTGAACAGGAATTAAGAAAACTATAAAACAAGGATCTCTATAAACCGGTTTAACGTTAGACCACATACGTAGCACGCAGGCTTTGAAGATGGAGAAAATAAAGCCATCGCGAAGTGGTAACAATAATCTGTAGTTTCTACTTGTGAGTGCATTGGTTTAGTAAGGACGTTATATAACAAATTTTATGAAAATTTAATTCGCCCATACCAGGGCAAGTACATGATTACACGCGGAAACAGAAACCTGCTGTTTTGTGGGTGTCAAACTTAGTCTTTAAAGGACGAACACTGATCGAGAGTATTTGAGAACAGGGTGCCAAATAGAATATTTGAACCTAAAAGGGATGAAAACTGTATAATCAGAAGCGCTAAATTTGCAATCTTCGCAAAGTATCTTATTTGAACCTAAAAGGGATGAAGTGACGGGAGGTTCGAGAAAACTGCATAATCAGAAGCAATCTTCGCAAAGTATCGTTGGAATGAACAAATCAAAGTGAATGAGATGGTAGAGGCATAGTACGATGAGAAATGCATAGAAAGATTTGGTTGGAAAACCTGAAGAGAAGAGACCACTCCGAAAAGCTAGACGTAGATGGAGGAGATAATATTAAAATAGGTTTTAAAGAAGTCGGGTGGAAGTGTGGACTAAATGCATGTGGCTGAGGATAGGTTCCAATGGTAGACTGTCGTGAACACGGTAATAAACCCTATTATTCCATAAAAGATGGGAAATTTTACTAGTTGAGTGCACTATAAGCTTCTCAAGAAGGGCTCTGCTCCATGCGGTCAGATCCAGTAGGGTTCCGCGGAGCACAGTTTGAAGAATCACGTTTCCTGACAATCAGGTCAGCTGATGGAACTAATAAAGAAAGCAGCAGTGAAGCTGAGGGAGGAACATTCAGTCCAGCTGCGAGATTCATGCGCATCGAAGACTATTCTATATACCTGTTCTGCAAGTGCCCTTAATTTTAGAAATTTGCCTACACTTCGAGCTGCCGAGGTTTTGAGAGGGTGACACAGAGTCGACAATGCCTGCATCATCCTCAGTGTTGATAGTTTATGCCTACTTCATTTAAACATGTGCGAGTGATTTATTAATTCGCCAGTTGTTTTGTGAGTGCAGAATCGATTGGAATTCTTTGGAAACAAAGTGAACAAGAAAATATTTGGATCTGAGGAGGATAGAGCAAGCAAGCAACTTACGACGGGCCTCATGAATAACGAAGAACTTCGTGATTTTTACAGGTAGCATGGTATTATTCGGAGAGTAAAATGTAGGATTCCACGATGAACACTACATGTAGCCAGAATAGGAGGGACAATAAATTCGGTTAGGAAATCCTCTCGAAAAACAGCCACTAGGAAGACAAAGCAGGAGATGGGTGAATAAGAGATCTTGTGGGTGTACATCGTGGATATGGCTCAGAATCGAGTCCAGTGGTGAAGTTCGATTGTAAACAACAATAAGCCTAAATATACACCTATTAATGAGTTTATCGGTTATAACAAAATATTATTCAACGTAATTTAAAACATATATTTAATAACAAAATATATATACAGAAATTCTAAATTATTTAAAAATACGTTAAATTCAATACTGCAAGTAATATTTCCATTCGGGGAAAGGGTACATCGATAGATATCATAATAAAAAAGGCATTATGTTTAAAATATAAACTATTTATACAGCATATTACCTAGGTTCTAAAAAAAATGTTACACGAATCTAAAACTCCGATGAGATTAATGACAATAATAGAAATCAGCATAAATAAGAAATTAATATAGACTTGAAAGAGAAATTTAAAAAGAGTCAAAAATGTACAAAACTCTTTTAATGTTTCCGTACTATTAATAGTGGAATTTAATATACAACCCCGTCATGGCAATAGCAGATTTTGTCTACTTTGTCTGGGTTCATTTGACTTCCAAAGACTGACCCTTTAAGAACAACTGTTGGTCCTTAGACCAATGAGATAACTCTGAAAGAACTCGGAAGACTGCATTCGTAAAAAGACCTAAGACTTTGGGTCATTAACTAATGATGCAATTCTGACGATAGATCTGATATTCCCTAAGCAAAGGACCAGATACATCGTGTCGGTACGTGTATGACCACCTAATGATCCGTTCCTTCTCGTGAAGAATCACTTAGGTATTTTCTGTCCTGAGGCGAGGGATATTTTACTACAGAGCGTCCCGACGTACGTACAGTTGTTTCGGAATCCAGCAGCCTACAAGGAATGCGAGGGGATTGTGGTATGCGCAATAACTTACATTCCTTCTGTAAAAACTTCCCTGTCTTGTTGCAGATACAACACGAAATTAGTTATCTGAGGACGCTGCAGCTTATACGTGGGACAGACAGCGAGATTCACATTTGAGAGGTCCTGCATGGAGTCCCTAGAGTCGGCTGTCAAACGTTCATTATTCGTGGCTAGGCGAGCAGTCTTTTCCAGGGGCGTAGCGTTCATAACAACCGTGTCGGTCAGGCTAACTCTTCGAGAAACGAAAAATTAAAGATACTGTAGTAATTTCGTGGTTCAGTGACACTCCATGCAATGGGACATAGCAGAACCGATCACACAAAACGCTTCGTTAGCCAGCTTCAGTCAGGCAGGCCTTATTACGCTCGCCGCGAGCGTTACGTCTCAACTGCTGTAACTGGCTAGTCAAATAGTTCAGTTAAAATATTGGTTACAGTTTACATAAATTTATACTCTTCAGCGATTTGATGGAGAATGGTAAGAGTTGGTGACATGACCATGGATGCTTCAGACAGCAGCCTTAGATGTGGTCAGATCCTGGTAAATAATGATGATGTACGAAGTTTTCTTTCAGAACAATAAAAACATAAATTGCTAAAATGGAATTATCTACTATAAGAGCTCGACTAAATACTGGACTATTAAATAAAGCGGAACGCCTAGCAGTTTCACTATAATTGCAACACCCAGAATGAGTAAATAATGGCAAAAATTTCCTTCTGTATCTGGGTTAGGCATATCATAAAATGCGGAAGTCAATGTTCCCCAGTTTGAACAATATAGATTCATTCACCAAGAGGTAAATTTGCCCAAAAATAATACTGAACTTTTTAACTGTTGAGACAAACCACAGTTGTCCAAAATATAAATATAATTTTTCAATTATTTTTATGACGCTTGTAAATGCACTGGATGTGTTGCCATGAATTGTAAAGGATGTCAAATGCAAGCGGGAGTGTCCTGATTTAAGAGGTGCCTACTGTTCCAGGATTTGCCTGGAGCTACTTAGGGAAACAGTGAATATCTGAGTCGGGATAACCGGTCTCTGGGAAATACTTGGAGCGTCCGGAATACAAATCAGAGGTCCCAACCACTCAACCGCAGTGTTGTTAAGAAATATCTCGCAGTTATAGTACAAACGTCACCTCTAACCCCTTGAAGACAACATTCACCTAAATAATATTTCAAAATTCAGTCCGTAACGCAAAGATAAAACAGTTCTTAAATAATTACAAAGATCAAACTGTTAACGGTGTTTAAGGAAAAAAATCGGTGATCACATTGGCTATCATAAGAAACCCGCAAATACAAAATGAAAAGGAGTAGTTCATTTCTAAAGTAGATGGGGTATAAAATCACCATAAAGCGTTAAAGATTTAATCAACCTAGATAAGGAAATTAAGCTTCATTACATCGCAGTTAACCATTACAGCTTCGCAATTTGGAAACATAAATTCCTATTTCGAATCTCGAGTCCATTGTTCAGACATGTGTTAGAATCAGGGCCATGAAACACATTGATGAAGGGGTAAATCTTGACACCCACAAACTTGTCTCACTCTTAGTTTCTTTGGGAAATCGAAAGAAGCTGTCTGAGATTTCAGGTTTTCACGGCTGTAGGAACAATGTTGTTCTGGGTCTTAACACAGTGTAGTCTCCTCAAATATACTGCCTCCGTCCCCAAGGCTGGAGTGGAAGTGCTGAGAAGGAGGAAGGCCAATCTGGGACGAAAAACGCGCTGTCTGGCTACCACTGACGAGCACGCATTTCTATTGTTTTCACTACAGGGGCTGCTGATCAGTTGCAATCAGATGAGCGCCGAGTACCTGTTCATGCAGGACAAACTGTACGATGTCCAGTACGACACCGGGGACAAAGTCATTCAGTGCGGCAGACACAACGACATTTTCAAGCTCTGGCTACAATGGCGTGCAAAGGTACCTCATTAAATTAAATTTCTTTTCTTATCTTCTGCACCAATTAGTTTGCAGAGGAAAAGTGGACATTTCAAGTTCTCACGGCAGCTCGCATTGAGATGGCTGTCTTCTGGGTTGTTGCGTGGACAAGTTTACCGGCGTTTCAGAAGGTCCTTTCTGCCTCCATCATCAATCACCATGATGATGGAGGCAGCAAGCTCCTGTGAAACGTCGGCAAACTTCTACCAGTCTACAAGCCCCCACAATCCAAGAGATAGCCATCTGCAAGAAGGAAGATTAGTAAAAGTATATATCATTTATATCATAATATGCATCCTTGCTATTATATTAATAATACTTTACCATCCTTTTATACCACTTCTGAAATTCAATTTTGTTACGACCCTTGAAGATTTTGTGTGTAGCTATTATAGTTACATCTTACTTTTATAATTTAGCGTCTTCAAATTAAACATTGATGGAATTATGTAATTAAAACGAGAATGTTTCCCAAATGCGTTCTCCACCTTTTCTGTTAATTATTTTTATAAATAAATTACAGCCAGAAAAATCTGATTCCTCTTTCATGTCATTACACGTGAAATTTTGTGTTATACTCTGAAATAGGCTGAACTGTTTAACTTTAAACAATTTTTATTTACCTATTACCAATTCAAGTGACGTAAGACAATATTTAAATGAAGAATAGCCATGACATGACTAACTGTACAAAATCACATTAACTTCTACTGTTTAAATTATGAAGTTAACTTAAATACGTAGGACCTAACTACATATTTCCCTCAGCACAAACAAAATCATCAACCGAACGACACGCCAAGTCAGTCCACATGACGTTACAATTATAAACGTGTTGTTGAAAAGAAATTCACACTATGTAGAGTCACAAAGTAGTATACTATTTCGTTGTTTCTTTAACTCGAAAAATATACCAAATAAAAGTTGTAGATCTTAATAAGCTGTATATTTTATTGTCAAATATTTCGTACGATATTTTAGCATTACGGATACAACTAAATTAGTTTTACGCCTTTAAAATCATAATTTTAGTATTCAGCTAATACAAATCCGTTAATAGTTTCAGAGATAAGAAACGAGGGCGGACGGACAGCATTCGCTTCAGGCACTATTTGCAAATATAATATTTTATAATCGCAATTATAGATAAAAACTATTTTTTATCCCTAGCGTGTGTCAGTGTTTTGAAGCCAGCGTCTGGAAAACGAATCTGCCTATTTCCTTGTTCCCTTCTTAATCAATAAAATCGAATTACGTAAGTCCTAAACAGTTTGCAACTATCAATCTCCTCTCAGAATCGTTACTCTGTTAGCTGACACCCAAAGTTAATCGGAATATCTACAAAGAAGTATAAGCCGATGTTCGGACCGTTCTCAAATTGTAATCTGTTTTTCGCTACGGTCAGAAGCGGCGAGTTTCTGCTACAAATGTTTCATCATCATAGATTGCAATCGGGAGGTCCAGATTTCAAATATAATGCCACACAGTTCTCCGTGTTCTCCGTCGTATTGGTTTTGTTTGGAAGGAGGAAATAGAAGATAGCCATGAATCAGCCCACAACAATGGGAGAAATTACATTCTCACGGCCATGCTACTCTCCGACATCCGGGGCAACGAACACTTTGCTCGCATTACAATTCCTAAATCAATATCTGATACTGTCTCCATTTTACCTCAAATCTACAACTAAAGTTACAGAACGACCCAACCAAAACACAACACATACAAACGGGGCACGATCAGAACGTCAGACAGTCGTATTCGTTCCTTGCTATTCTTCTGAATTACCACTTCCGAATTTATAACTTGTGTTGGGCAAGGCCGTGGTCTAGGCAACACGGAGTTTTCCTCCGGGGGCTTTCCCGGTTTCTCCGTGGCATCCCAACAATTACTCCATTCACACACAGAAGAAGGCAATGGCAAACCACTTCTGGATCATCTGCCAAGAACGTATATGAACAGGTCACAGTCCGTAAAAAGGAAGGAAGGAACCTGTTCATATGGACCTGTCGTCAGACAGAACACTAAAAATAAAAAATAAAACTACATTGCGTCATTATCTACTGATGGGCTATTAACTTTTATGTGTTCTGTAGGGCACAGAGGGTTTCGAGAAACACATGGACACATTGATGGAGTTGTCAGAGTACATGGTGAAGCGCATCAAGTCGATGCCCGACAAATACTACCTCATCCTTGAGCCCGAAATGGTCAACGTTAGCTTCTGGTATGTGCCCACCCGTCTACGTTCCATTCCCCACAGTCCCGAGAGGGCGAAGTTGCTCGGACAGGTGAGTCACCATCAAGAACCATCTTCTCCCATTAGACACCCGTTAATTAAAAAACTCTTATGCACATATTCGCAGAAACGATCAACACTTTTGTGACATTGATTGAATCACAGTTATATTCGATAATATTTACTGTCTGTCTAAGCAAAGCACAGACATTACTATGTATATAATACTTCGCGCACAGCGACTCATTAAGTGCCCAAGAAGTAAAAGTGTAACATAAAACATGTTAAAATATGGCCTATCAAGTTCACTGTCATCCCATAACGGATATAAGAACAAACTCTTTAATAAATACAGCTAGGCGTCAGTGATATTAAAATTACAGGCTACCAGCTTAGAATTTTTATTTTGTATATTTGTTTAGAGCCACGCTGGCCTTGTAATCCTGGGGTCTCGGGTTCGATTCCCGGCGGTGCCCGAATTTATAACTTGTGTTGGGCAAGGCCGTGGTCTAGGCAACACGGAGTTTTCCTCCGTGGCATCCCAACAATCACTCCATTCACACACAGAAGAAGGCAATGGCAAACCACTTCTGGATCATCTGCCAAGAACGTATATGAACAGGTCCCAGTCCGAGAAGAGAAAAGGATGGAAGGATCCTGTTCATATGGACCTGTCGTCAGACAGAACACTAAACAAAATTGTTTATTTATTTATTTATTTATTTACTGTGTACATACAAATCTTAAGAAGGGGCCCCGTACCCCTCTAGGGGCGTTTTTGTATAGACTAAATCAAATAACCTATACCTCACACAACAGACTGTGATAAAAGCACCACAGTACACCCCTACTTTCAGCTGTATGTCTCGATCTGTCATACTCGTAGCACTATTTCTGCAAATGAGGTTCTGTCTAATGAGATGGCTGTGGTGTCAGTGGGAAGTGTCGTTTCTCTTTGCTGCCTTATTTGGTCTTCATTCAGATTAACCATGATGGGTGCAAATGATAAATTTCATCTTGACGTAAGATTTATTCCTACTCGTCCACTTTCCTCCGTTTCTGAGAGTCTGATTCCTGGAAGATTTTCTCTTTACTACGACGCAGGAAAGTAGTCGCAAACAAGAAAATTTCATTGGAGGTGTGGAACGCAGATCGAAGTTAAAATAAATGAGCTAGAGTAATGATACAAGGCCTTTTAACTGGAACTTAACGACATCTCTACATTTTTAAATGCAGAATTAAATTATATAAACAGCTCACGAAATGCACAAATTTAAAGTACCTGATACATCCGCTTCAAAGAGATAACTTGCAAATTTAATAAATCTATCATTCTGTCCGACTCTTGAAGGTGCTACATATTTTGTTTCAAGTGTCTAAAGGGGCGTACTTCTATCTATACTTGAAAGAAGCAACAGGGTGGCGCCCTCAGCATCAATAAAGGCACTAGGACGCCACCCTGGATAGACTGCAGACTGGCTCAGGGGCCCACCCAACCTCCTGTTCAGAGGGTTTCATGGGAAAATCAGACGATTTCTTCAGTTGCTCACTCACATTCATGTAACAAAGTTAAGAATGTGTAGACAATATTCTCGCTCCTACACGTCTTCATGACGTGTCGCTTAATGTCAGTAACATAATTAACATTTACCTCATTCCAGCTCAAAATAAGAACAAATGCGTTATAATACTAATTCAATTCAGTTTCTTCATGAAGTTTGCCAATAGTAATCAGGCTATGACAAACAGTAATAAATAAATATCATCATCATCATCTATGACTCTACAACCCAGTGTGGGTATTGGCTTCCTTTCTTCGAGGTTACTTAATCTATTTAGACATTTGGTAGGCCTCCTTGGATGAGTAATCAGCCCCGTCCCAAGGCCTCCATCTGCACACAGGACAGCACAACACAGAAAGACGCGGACAAACATCCAATCCATGGCTTGAGTGGGATTCGAACCCACGGTCCCAGTGTCTAAGTACATGGAAGTCCACTCTTCAGACCGCACGGTCACTGTGACCGGATACACGATATAAAAATAAGTGAAACAAAATTAATCTAAATACACTAATGAATCTACACACTTCGGTGTATCGAGAAAGTGTCCTCATAGGAGATAACATTTTTTCTATAAATGTCCAAACACCGGAACATATAATATACAGCACCCGGTTCGTAATGCGCTGCTCACGATGGAAGTATAATATTCTCTAATTTTCTTTGTACGCACACGAATATCAACAACATCCATGGTGGAATGGTAATTCATTTTACCACTGGAATCACCAATAAAAAGGTAAAAGAATCGTCTTTAATAAAATATTAAAATGTTAAACAATTTTAAATTAAATCGTAATTACAAAAAAATATCAACTGAGAAATATAACAACACAAACTGGCAAATTGTCTTCGAATATTTTATATTTTATTGGAGACAGATGATGTATGATTGTCCCATGCGACAGAGGCATACTCTAGCTTTGATGTAACTAAAGCTCTGCATAAAACAACCAGACTATCCGAAAAAGATTATCAATAATAACGTTTATTAGTGTTCATTTGCACATAAGGCTGCCCAGTTTCTCTACAGCACAATGTGTTTCAAAGCCCTACATTTTGCGATTTGTCGGTGCTACAGATCACACCAGTCCTGAAGGGTCGCATGATGACAGCAGGCACGCTGATGGTGGGCTATCAGCCCGACGATGCACGACCCAACTTCTTCAGGAATATTATCTCAAGTGCAGCCGTCGTGGAGGCAGACATTGATTTCCTCCTTACAGAGTTGGACCGCCTAGGACACGATCTGTAGACACTGAACTTTATCGACCATAAAGGAGTAGACTATTCATGAAGAAAATGATGACAGTCTGTATTCTCTCTAAAATTTTTAGTTTGTATCAAAGAGTCACTGATATTAACCAACAAATTTCAGGGCTGTTCTCGAAGAAATTATATTATCTTACATTTACCTTAAACAGGCGTGGCTTCAAGTGGCCACCATTTTATGAACAAATAGAAATCACGTGAATTACATCTTATATATATTTATTTTATTTTAACAAGCTAACAATAGCTACTAGTTCAATTAATTTCAAGTACTCTACAATAGTTTATGCTTCTACTCGGTTAGTTACCAGCGTTGCTCCACGCAGAAATGTTATTTTATAACTTATTTTATAACTAATTTTATTACTCATCTACTTTAGGTATTTTATTGTTACATTTTTAGAAGTGGGAGTTCGGAATCTTAGAATAACGCAGCTCATTAAGAATAACGTATATGGTACCCAGGTCACCCTTGGAAATTATTCATGTTCTAATTATCAGTCAATCATAAATGAATTCGACTCTGTGTAATTTATAGGTCCCGTCCAGTTAGCTCAATAACAGCATAAACAGGACGTTAAAGCGTATTTAGAATGTCAATATGGAAACACGCAAGCAGAAGGTATGTACTTTTAGAATACAATATCATTCATATTATCATTGTTAAACGGAGACCTCATGTTTCAAGTTCACGTCTCAATTTAAAATTTACTTAACTGTGTAAATGCCTTAAATGTCTTTTAACATATAATGTGCAGTTGGTTCTCATAAAGAGAGGTATCATACCGCCGTTTTAAGTGAAGGGATGATTTACATTCCATGAGACTCAGAAACTTCATAACGGATGTACCCATTAAATTGCAATAAGAGGACCTTTGTTCAATGCACTTAATCTTCTACTAACTTCGATGTAGTATTTGGAGTATGTTCTGTCATTAAGAGATTATATGAAGATAAAAGTGTGTTAAATCCAATTTATACGTCGTTTTCAGCTTAGGGAAGTTTATTAACGTTGTGTCGGTATAAGAATGGTTCTTTATATTTTAGGGAAAAACAATTTTATTAAAAGAATTATTTTAAATGTTGTGTAGGTCCTGATAGATAAAAAATTATGTAGTTATACGTAGGTAAGTAAAATATATAAAATGATCAAATATGACTATGATCAGATGTACTGACTTTAATTTTCCAAAAAAAATTTAGATGTACATACGTTCTTATAAGTGTCTCATAATGGACATTTCAAGCTGGTTCGACAATATTCTAGCTATTATTCTGTTATCACGATGATGAAGAAACTCAAAGCTGCTGTTATTACATATCGATGTTGTTAATATTGGGAGTATATAAACGTATAGACGTGTATTATGTAATTTATAGTAAGACAAAAATATATTTAAAGTAAAGCAAAATACTAAGTAATGGTAAGTAGCCTCAACATTCCAATGTGTAGCCGCGCAATAATGTTATGTACATTACAACATAGAGTTTTTTATTATGGAGAGGTTCTCACAGAGTTCCAGCTGTATGAATACAAACGTTGTAAATTAATGGACACGTCGACAAGGAAAATAATTTCAAAACAAAATATTTCGAAAGCTCTTCGTAATAATTCGAAGACAATTAAGCGAAATTCTAACAATATCTAAATTATAATATTCCGCACAGAACATTTTGGGAACCTCCGCCTGTAGAAATGAAAGAAGATATCTGTAAATTCATATGGTTTCGCCATGTTGTGTAAAAAATTATAATATTTTATTTTTTCTCCTCGTTTCGAGTCAATAGTGCATCACACCGCTTGCTTGCCACCACGGCCTACTGTATACTGTAATAAAACAAAATGGGACCTAAATATGCCGAACATATGCTGCAAGTATTTTGGAAAATTTTATCTGAACGCTGGAAATGTAGCAATTCTTTTATGATTCTCACTCCCCTTGCAGTCCGTAATGACTCCCCATGACACAACGAGCTTTGTTTCTGTAAAGAAATTACACTGTTCACGTCACATATGCCTGCAATGTGCAATTTAGTAATTTAAATAAAAGTAGGATTTTAATGTGCACTAAATTTATTAATATTAGACCTAGGAAACTCAGAAATATCTTCTAACAGTGGAAAATAATGTACTTGAAAAGCAAGTATTTAAATTACACAGTTAGCTTTGTTTCTTTAACGTTAATGTTAATGAAACTTACAAAAAGGTCTCGTATAAGAATGGAATCAAGATTGAAGATTGAATACATCATAAACTACACAAATTTGCGTCGGTATTAGTGTGTTTCCATGTGTGTAAATAGCGGTACTTAAAAGCAGTTACGTCAACGTATTCTTCATCATTATGCATAAGTTTTTGAGACTACAGTTTACAAACGAAAAATATATTTGCAGGCACAAAATTTTAGCTCATGGCCATGATATATCGTGGAATTTCCAAGACAGTTCTGGATTTATGTGGATTATTCACTAATCATTTGGCCAGATAATTATATAGACTCGGTTTTCCTGGAACGTAAGTTGTGATAAATATTACAGTAAAATGTCTGAATTCGGAAAGATTCATACCTGCATAAAATCGGTTTTTAAATGTCACTTCCCTGTTTCCTACCAAATATACTGATTTTCCCATGTCCTTAATATTTCCCTAAGTCAAAATCACAATTTCAAAATAACACTGATTAAACGCAGTAAAGTTCTTTTTACGAGATTAAATTACTTGTAATATCAAATTGCTAATTCATTTTAAAAATTCTTCTTGAGAATAATACACAAGGAAACCAATTGGTGAACACATTAAACTGCTTATCAGAATGCACGTTTCTGGACAAAAACATGGACTGTTAAGTTTTTATTCTTTTCAACTCTTGTTAATAATTTCGGACACTCTTCCGCTGTCTTCGGAAGTGGGAATTAGTTACAGACCCAGACACAGACTGGCTTTTTGTTAGACGAGTGATTTCATACAAAGACGCATACTAAGGGTTGCAACCACTTGCTGCAGTAACTTTTGTTCAAATAACGCTTTAAAGCTCACCAGAATCTCAACTAAAATGATCAAATTAAATAAAACCCACAGTATTTAATTCCATGCTGTGTAACCTTAGTAGTTGATATATCGTCAAGGAACTATCAATGTCTTGGAACAAATGAACACTGTCAATTGAATAAAAATTTTCTCGGATATTATCCATCGTCTAGTAAATATAAAACGTAAAACGACGTTTCGGAGATGGGACTCTATCTCCGTCTTCAGGTTC